ATAATAGCTAGCTATAAACGGCAATAACTTCTGTAATTTAAATGGAACACCCTGTATATTTTATGATAATCAGATGCACAATTTAATTGTCTATCAAATTGTATTATATCATTTTTTACATATGTCTTCAGGTTTTCGTAGTAAATGCATTTTCTTATAATTTAGACCTCAATTATCAATATACCCATGGAATATTGAAATTTTTGATTATTTTTAAAGAAGTAACAAATTTTTAAAGGGTACAGATACTAATATTGTCGATATAGTTCATTTGTGTCATTAAAAAATAAAAAAAAATATTTAAATATTTGTAAAAAAGGATCAATTAATATGATTCCAGTATTCAAACTACATTAATTGACTGTTTGCGTTGATTAATAATAATTGCTCCAAATACTAAAAAACTTAATTTTGTATGTGTATTAGATAGTGTGGTAAAAAGTAACACCTTAAAAATTTTATTTTATTTTTTGCCGGATGCTTATTTATAGCAACAGAGACGTTCATTTTCATAACTTATTATTATATTGATTTCAGATTCCAAATCCACATTTAGGTAAAGTTTTCAATTTATGAAACTAACTAATGTAATTAATTAATATTTGGGCGGAAATAATGGAGGTATATTTAATTAATGGTATACTCTTTTATAAAGATTTAAATAGTTTTATTTGTGTATACAAATATGCTGATAATATTATCGTTTTTAGCACCTGTATATTTGTTGCTTTAAAAACAATCTAAAATGTCAATATTCCATGGGTATATTGATAAATGAGGTGTAAATCATAAGAAAATGCATTTTCTACGAAAACTTGAAGGTATAAGTAAAAGTGGTATAATACAATTTGATGGACAACTAAATTGTGCATCTGATTCTTCTAAAATATACAGGGTGTTCAATTTAAATTAAACAAGTTATTGCCGTTTAAAGCTAGAAATTATTTAAAATAAATTTTTAAACACTCTGTATGAGGTAGTATTATTTTTATTATTGCAACACAATAACTGATCAATAATTAAACTTCAGTAAATATTTAGTATTAAAAACTATGATACCCTTGGAGAAATGAAGCCTTAAATTTTTTACTGCAGTTTCACAAAATTGAAAATATTTCAAAAACGGTAAGGTTTAAGGGTGATAAACCTTAATCAAATTTACCTTTATTTTAATCACAGAAACTAAAAATGTAATAATATACAGGGTGTTCCATTTAAAAAAATACAACTTTGATATTTTTTATTTACTTGGGATACTCTGTATCTTGTAAAAATATTTTCAAATTGTAGCTCTAATAGTCCTTCAACTTACAATTTGTAAAAATCTAATCGTTTAGCTACAATACTCCGTGTCGTATGTGGTGAACAACCCTGTATATACCATTAGATTTTATAGACCATTTTTACTGGAACTTTATTTGTTTTCTCAGGTATGTATATTACACCTTGTCAGAAGCGTGCCGTGGGTAAAAGGGCGGGGTGGGCGCAGGGTACATGTAGAGTAATTCAAATTGCCGAATTCAAGGTGTTCTCATTATGGTTCATTTTACACAATTGGGGCGCTTGGATTATAGGATTATACAGGGACGGTAGCGCTTTTCGACTGGACAAAGCAACGTTGCCATCCGCTCTTACAAGAAGTACTGTTTGGTCAAGAAAATGTCGAAAATGCAAACAAATAAAAAGACTAGACCATAACGTGATCGTAGAATGAGAATAATTAGATTGTACGGTCAATTTTGCGATTTCACTAGGGTGCGTCACTCAGTCAGAGCTAAGGGCGGAGGGGGCAATCGCCTCCCCGTGCCCCCTATACGGCACGCCACTGCACGTTGTATATTAGTCCCAGTTACTCGGTACATTAACCACATAATATGAAATCTTCATTTTTAAATAACAGACTTGTCAGTTAACAAAGTTCTTGGAAAGCATATTTTCTAAATGTCTAATGTATTGATTACCATTTCTATCTACATTATTCAACTTCTTTTTTTTTATATTGTCCTGAATATCACATACCCTCCCTTCAAAAGACACTAGAAAGTAAAAGGTACTTTATACACCTTGTCACATTAAAAAGGTTATATTTAATTTTGTTATCAAATGTTCTTAGAATATATAGATTATTAATTTGTTTAAAAAAGTAGTGAATTAAATATCTGTTACATAATTAAATAAATGTAATATACAACATATATTTGGTTGAAGAAATGAGAAATTATTCATAAATATTAAACAGTAAATATTGATCATGCATTAAAATATTTGTTAACAAAACCATCTCTGTGTTCTAAAGTGATTAAATAATGTAAGGAAAAACCATGTTATTTTGCAGAATTTCTAATGACCTAGTGTCTTCATTTTATCTTTTAACGGTTATTGATGTATATTGCGTTATGTGTTCAATGTTATTGTTTTATTTATAGACGTAAATATAACATTACGATGTCGTTATACTTTCATGGAAAAGTGAGTTATGAACGTGCGTAAAATTTGTACAGTAAATTTGGCAGGTTTTTCTGCCATACTAATATTTCTTATGACGTTATATGTATTATTATACCTTTAAAGTAGGTACACAGGATTTCCGTTCTTCAAAGAAAACTGTATTGCAAAATAAAAGAAATACTATACCTAAAAATATAATTTTACTTTGTAAAAAACAGCCTAACCCCAAAAAGCTTATTTTTAGAAAACCCGAGTGACAATAACAATATCTTGATATTTTGCTTCAAATATTTGTCTAAAGACCTAATGAACTAAAATTTAGTCATAAGTAATGTTTATTACTAAAAAAATGTGATGCCGTTTTTCTTTATGAATTTATTTGCAAAGTTAATATGCCAATATTAATAATTGCATGAAAACTATTATTGAAGCAAATTTTGTAGCTTAAAACTTTTATTTTTATTTAGATACAAAATGAATTTAATAAAATAAATATCATACAGCTCAAATTTGCGAGTTTGTGGATTAAGCCGTTTTTGCGATGGTAGCCTTATTTATACAGGGCGGTCCGAACTATATTCCGAAAACTTCGGCAGTATATTCTGCAGATAAAAATAAGGAAAAATGTTCGTATAGTTCCAACCAAACCAAAAATGCCTAGTTTCGGAGATACAGGGTGTAGAATTTTTATTTTTATTTCGATTTTTTCCAAATAATTTCTGCAGTAACCTCTATATTTGGATTAAAATTAGTGTCTGGGAGTTTTTTGACATGAGAAATTTGATTTTGATGTCAATATGACTCCTACTAGTAGAGGGCGCCACCTACATATTTTTTAACTGGTTTGAAGAGTAATAACTTTTCGTCCGTACCTGTATAAAACTACTGAGTAAAAAAATATACATTTACGATATTTTTTACGTAAAAAAGGTCTCTTGGTAAAAATCGCTACGACTATTGGTTTTCGAGATATTTGGAATCGAAATTATCAATACCTGTCATCACTTACATAAATTAAAAATGTTTACATATAGTTATTAGACTGAGATCATAAATTTGAAATGTTTTTGTACCAAAAGTTAAACAAAAACTGTTTATCATCATTTTTTTTGCAGAAAAAATATGATTAATCAAAAAAAATTAACATTTCCCAAATTTATTTATTTCAGTGAAATAACTATCCACTCAACGTATTTATTTTTTGTCAATAATGGCATGTATTGACTATTTCCATTCTAAATATCTTGAAAACGGTTGTTCGTAGCGATTTTTACAAAGAGATAATTTTTACGTAAAAAATCGCAGAGATGTATATTTTTTCCCTCGGTAGTTTTATACAGGTACGGACAAAAATTTATTACGCTTCAAAACAGTTAAAACACATGTAGGTGGCGCCCTCTAACAGTAGGAGTCATATTGACATCAAAATCAAATTTCTCATGTCAAAAAATTTCCAGACACCAATTTTCATCTAAATATTGACGTTACTTCAGAAATTATTTGAAAAAAATCGAAATAAAAATGAAATTTCTACACCCTGTATCTCCGAAACTAAGCATTTTAGGACATACATTTATACGAAGTTTTTTACCTATTTTTATCTGCAGAATATGCTGCCGAAGTTTCCGGAATACAATTCGGACCACCTTGTATATGAGTCTAAATCTTGAGCTAATATCAACACGTGCCGTATGATCGAAAAAAAAAAACGGCGTCAGCAATGGCTATGAAATGAAGATCGCTGTAATTTTATATGTAAAATTTTATGGGGAATGTCAAGGATAAAAATAATATTAACATACATGCTCTGACAAGAGACATGCTCTGGCAAAGATTTAATCACTTTAGCTACTATATCACTCAATTTTGCATATTAACACTTAATTTTCATATTATCAATTTTTCTAGAAAGAAACATACAATGCTGTTAGCTTGTTAAGTGTGATCAACCTTAATTTCTCTTTTTAAACTAATATTCCAAATCGGAAAATTAATTTAGTACCTAAATACAGAATGACGCCGCGTTCAGGAAAAGCCCTATATCAGGTTTAAGATTTTCAGTTTATTGTTCCTTACTCAAGCTCCTATACAGGATACAGGATGTCAAAAAAATAGTGTGTCTAACTTCGGTGGGTGATTATACAGATAAAAACAAAGCAAAAAGTTCCTGTAAACATATCGCTTCCCCAAGAAGTCACTGTCCTTGAAAGTCCTATAAGGATAAAAGAAGTACCACCAGTAGTACTAGGTACCCTAATGGAAAGTACCCTTTCAGGACTGTTACGGAATTTTACACGATCGCCATTCGCTTTGGCATTAAAATGTGTGTAAGAGTACCAAATTTGAGAAAAAACCGGTTCAGCAATGTTCTTAAAAATAAAAAAAATATATTATTATTACAGTAACTTTTTCGAGAGGCACTTTAGGGGATATATCCATAGGAACTATTTGTTTTATTTTTATCTGCAGAATCACCCACCAAAGTTAGACACCCTGTATATTGGAATGCAAATTTTTTTCTATACAATAAATTTTATTGAATAAAACCCAAATTTTCTTTTCGCAGAAATTTATTTCTAATATTTACAAAAGTATAAAAATAAATAAAGGGTACATACAACAGGAAATATCGAAGAATATTAATTAATAAACTTATTTGTGTCAAGTCGTATTTGCCCACACATTAAACATCAATTTACACTACTATGTTAAATTTTGTTGACAAAATAATGGCAAAATAATAAAAACTACTTGATTGGCAACTCGATTTACAGGTGTTTGGTGATTAAGGTTGATTGTTTTAAGTCTTCTTTGTAATTATATACAATATGTTTTACCAAACGCGTTAAATAAATACTTTTTTCGCTTGAATAATGATTTAGTTAGATTTTACTGACTTTATTTTTTGTAATATAAATTGTTATTGATACTATTATAGACAGGGGTGTTGTCAAAGCGTATCCTAATTATTCTGAGGTTCACTTCATTGGGTGATACGGTTCTCTTGAAGAACTTCTGGAATCTAGTTGTTAGCAACCATAATTCGTTGTCAATCCATCTCAGTTCGGAAGCAAACTGGAACAGGTCTGGGTTGAAAGCCAGCAATCTGTAATTAAAAAATATATTTAAGTATTGATATAAAACCAAATGCATTGGTATTAAAATCCAAATTTTACATGGAAAAACAACAATAAGAAATAAAATTTGTGCATAACCGGTTTGTACAAACACAGTTTATGATATTATGACAATATAAATTAAAAGTCATTTGTGACATGCGATCTATTATTGAAAATAAAGAACTTTGAAGTGATTAAAAAGTCAGTCTATTATAATATTGTTTTCAAATGCGCTATCTATAAATGTTTGATGTATGTTTGTTGTAATGAATGTACTGTAATATATTATTATTCATACTCATACAGTGTATCAAAACAACTTTGTATTTACATTACTGGGCTAATTTGTAAACAGAGCTGCGATGATCTAGAAGCAAAATAATATGTATTGTAAGATAGTACTTTGGGTGACGAGTATCTGACACGCATCAGAAGATGATTACGCAAGGCGTTTCCTTTTATGAGCTTGTCTGTGCCTGAAAAGCCCGCTACGTGATGGATTCAAAAATCTGATTACTTTGTTGTCTCTTTACTTTTTGGTTGTCGTTGATAACTGAGTTTACAATTCTTCTCCATTGCGTTCTATTATGTGCTGCTTCCTCTCATTGATTCTGCATGCTTATCGTATATAGTAATCATGACTTTAACGCACTCACCGCTATCTTTTTCGAGAACCGATACGTTTGTGTCATGGTGGAACGATTTGATTCTTAAGAGTTGTCTAAGGTATCTCTGTTGCAACTTGTTTAATGCGTTCATGTGCCCAGGTTTCGCTTCGATATCGTGTCGATATTGGCTTTTTCCGAAATCAAACTGGCGAGATTCCGCTACATATTCCAATAGTTCTTCTTGGATTTTTATTTTTAGCATTGTTATGATTTTCCGGGGGAGTGCACATGCTTTTAGTTTTTTCGATGTTCAGCTTAAGGTCCAAAGCTTCGTATGCCCAGGTATATGTGTTCAGCATTTCTATAATTGATGAAACATTTTTGTGACTACAGCGCAGCGTAGTCATCAGCGAATTGAAGTTCTGTGATGAATTTTGTAAGTGTTTTTGCCCTGAGTCTTTTTATGTTGAACAGACTGCTATCGTATCTGTATCATTTTGCTCATTCCTCTTTCCTGCAGTTTGCTGTCCACTATAATGGAGGGCGCTACCGTGAATATGTTGAATAGGACTATAATAAGGCTAATACACATCCCTGCCGAACTCCTGTATTTGTTAGGATACATTGTGAGGCACCTCTCCGCTTTCCCATATGACATTGAACAGAGCCTTAAGGTGACTAATAAATTATTTACTTGCACACTTATAGATTTCCGCCGGGATGGCGTCACAGCCAGCTGATTTGTTGTTTTTAAGCCAAGTACATAGTCAAAAGAGTTGCTATAAGTCTCCCATAGCAGTGGAATTGGTACTCATTATTCCTAAAATCTAAGTAAGTTGTGATGTAAAAAAATGTGTTTTAAAGCATGTTACAAGAATTCTGATATATGATATATGAGGCAATATATTATACGAGTACGCCGCCTTTGATGCTGATGCGGCTTGAAAGCTAAAAAATCTTCATTATAAGAGTGAGTCCTTCTTAGATTTGGAAAAGGCATTTGGCACTGAGAACACACTGAGAATACCTCAGAGCAGTGATCGAAGCCCTTGCTTACAAAGTATCAAAACAGTATATTACAAACTCTGGGAAACCTATATAGAGAAATTACAGCAATAACTGGCTGATGATATTGTCTTAATTGCGAACAGCCGTGAAGAGGTACAATGATCAATAAAGAAGTATAATGCAATGAAGTGGGGCCTAACAATGTACCTACATACCGTTGTATCATGTACAAATATATGTACAATATACATGGACCATTGCAAACTGAATTTACTTATGTACAAAATGTTGTATGGGGCAGCCTCAGAGACAGATCCGATTTAAGTACGGGACAAAGCTTCCATAGAGTATAATATTATTTGGTAATACTAAAATAACAATACAGTATTGCATGTCTTGAAATGAAACAAAAATATGACATGAAACTTGATTTAAAGATCGAATTGTATTGCTTTACTAGTTAGATAAGATGCTTTCCATTAATGAGATAACATAACGATTAGGTACTAGAAGACTTAAATAACTTAAGGTATGTATTAAAATTAAAGTATAATATCAAAAGAGTAGAAAATAGTATTGAAAATATTAATATAATAAAGTCTCTTACTCTTGACGGTTGGTAATAGGATTCCAAGACGCCACTGAAGTTTCAGTCAGAGGGCTGAAGTATAAAGTATTATCATTGGGATTCAAAGCCAATCCTAATCCTTGTGATGATTTCCTTCCAGCCAAGGTTACAGGAATTTCTTCGAATTCAGCTGGTGGTCCCTTTGTTAATGTAGCAGTAGGTATACTGAAGATTCTGTAACAATAAATTAAATAAAGATTCAATTGTATTAATAACTTTTATTAGAGGTGTCCTTCAAAGCTCTGTGGGATCAACAGGAATATCTGATAGTTGAGAATGTTTGTTAAAATACAGTGAATTTAAATGAAATTAGTTGTTTGAAGTTAATTTTTTCTGGAATTATTGCGAATTAATGAAATTATAAATATCGGAAATACATATTTAAAGAAATTACAGATTTTAGGTGTGATTGTTTAAGTAACGATATACTCCAAAAAGGGTAACTATATATTAATCTCAACGATTTCCTTGTAGTTGATATCTAAATGATTTATAGTTAGTGCACATAGTAAAGTACAAGTGTCATTGTACTATTATTATATAAAGCTATGGTTAACCGCTAATTGTTAGGCATTTCGTAGTACTCAATTAATCATCTTGAAGATGATATTAATAAAACAGGTGCCGTAACTTATTAATAGTACTGGTACCGCAAAAACAGATAGGTATATTAGATTACAATAGGAAATACAATTCTGGGAATAAATTGAACGGATTTATGATTACTTGTATGACCTTTTTATGGTTACATGTCACTGATATTACGAGTGATTAGTTGAAAAGTACTGTAATTCTATCATTATGTAGTAAAATTGGAAATGATCGATTTACATAGTATTGTGAAGTTGCAATTACCCTAATGAACAATGCAGATTCTATTTTTAGTCCCTTATTATTTTTGCAGAGTTAATTATTAAATTATAGTTACGTACAGATATAAATAGTACTTAGTATGGATAAAATAGAAAAATTTGTTAGATTCAACTAACCGTAAAATGAGGACACTTTGAAAGAGAGTAAAATTTGATAATGATGGTTGATATTTTATAGTATTAATTTATATTTTAAAGCTTTTTATTAAACTATTAACAATAAATAATATTAAAACATTTAGAGAAGTCAGTAGAGAGGTTAGTAGTTTATTAACTACGGACTTAAAACCCCCCCAAGATTTTAAAAACTTAATCTATACTAATATATAAAATCCTTAAGTGACTGACTCAGTGATTAATCGCGATCCTGCTCAAACCACTCAACGTAAGAAGCTCAATTTTGGAATACAGGTTGACTCTAGGGTGTAGGGATTCGATAAGAAAGGATTTTTTGAAACTCCAGTTCCAAGGGGGTGAAACCACCCCTCAAATAATACAATATTTTTTATTTAAAAAACGGTCAAGTTTCCGAAAAAACACTTAAACACGTATATTTTATGCTTGCTTCATCCACGTTACCGTAGATGGAGCTAAGAAGGCTTAGGTAGGGTATATATAATAAATGAACAAAAATACGAGTAGCGGAAAAAGGGGCCAAAAACGTATATTTTATTTTGTTTTTTACATATTTTAAGATTTTTTAAAAATGTATACAGGGTGTTTCGGAAAATTTGGTCATTGATTAATCACGATTATTACTGCTTAATCACGGTTATTACTGCTTAAAGCGCTTGACGTAAAAAGCTGATTTTTGGAAAACGGATTGACTTTAGGGTATAGAGGTTCGATGTTTTATTTAAAAACCGGAGAGTTTTTCGGAAAAACTCTTAAACACGTATATTTTATTTTGTTGTTTTACATATTTTAAGATTTTTTAAAAATTTATACAAGGTGTTTCATAAAATATGACCATTGAGTAATCACGATTCTGCTTAAACTGCTTGACGTTTAAAGCTGATTTTTGGCAAACAGATTGACTGTGGGGTGTAGAGGTTCGATAAGGAGGGGTTTCTAGAATCTCAAATTCCAAGAGGGTGAAAACGCCCCTCAAATATTACAAAATTTGTTATTTAAAAAACGGATAGTCTTTCGGGAAAACGCTGGGACACGCATAATATAATTTATTTTGTTTTTTACATATTTTGAAATTTTTTAAAAAATCATACAGCATACAGGGTATACAAATGATTAATCCGACGCGAACGAAGTCGCGGGTACACGCTAGTATATAATAAAAAACTCAAAGAAAATTGAAAAAGAAAAAAATCTTATGTATAGTATGTCCAACGAGAAAATACATCATAATGACAGTGGTCTGTTATTTTAATTCACAAGTAAATTGTATTATCAGTTACATTTTGGATGTTTCTCGTATATCAGAGCCTTTTTAATAAAATGAAATACGTTCACATTATTTTGGTACAATGTAACTTGTTTCAAGTGACTAATTTTAATAAAAAGATCATATCGAGGTTCTTCCCCTAAAATTTTTTAAAAACACATAAGAAAAGTGGTTACATAGCTCTCTTAGAAACTGCTTATTTTTTCGATTTTTATAAAGCAGAGACAAACACTTGATGAAAAATTAAGTGTTTTTATTGTGTAAATAAATTTAAACCCAGGGATTTTGACTTACTTGATATACGATAAATAAGTTTAATTAATTGTTTAATAGATTGGAAATATTACCTATCAGTAGCTAATGGCTGGTAGAACACTGTTGCCAATTTAGGCGAATGAGCTAATCCTACTATGCCATCGGGAAGAGTAAACGATTCCTGCGTAATAGTATAGGTAGCAAAGTTAGGATCAGGAAACATGCTGGGATGAGTAACTCTCCACATAGTGCCTCTAAGACCGTCAAACACCAAGAGACCTGAAAAAACAGTTATTTTATTTGTAGGTACCTACCTATATGTTTTTATTGGATGACATTATTTAATAAACATTATTCAGGATTATATTATGATACTTGAGTACAAATGAGATAAACAAAGTTATAATAAACAACAACATTTATTTTTGCGAAAATTCCAACATTCTTCTAAAATCGGCATAGTTAATAATGTTAGATTAACGTTTTACAACAAATATTTATAATAGTGGAACTAGCTAAAATTAATCCATAGAACTACTATATACCGGGTGCGTCTCAAAAGAGGCTCACCCCTATAACTTTTTTTATTTTTTCAGTTCAGTCAAAAGAACTAGATTTGGTATGTTATTATATGACATAAATTGGGATTGATTGACGTATTCAATTCTTTTCTGTCACTTCCTGTTTCACCGGAAATTACTACAACTTTTGATTTTTAAATGGCACCCTCGATTTTTTTTGCTTTATTCGAAAGAAAATAACACTCTGATGACATATCATATGTCAACTTTTGACATTTTTGCATATGGTGTATTTGAAATTATAACTTGCGGTTCGTAACGAAAATTTGACTCGAAATACCAAGTGTGTGATATCAAATTATTCGTAAAAAAATGCTTTTTCCAAATATGCTAATGAGCCACCCTCGTTCCATTGGAATGAGATATAATTAAAAATACGATTTGAGCATTTTCTAACTGGCCAGGACAAGACACCAAAAACATTAGACGATCAAATCTATTTTTCCAAAGCTCCTTGATTAAGAATTAATGTTTTTAACATAGCCATGGCACTCTAGATTGAATTTGAAAATACTATTTTTTATTAAGCGAGAATGTCAAAAGTTGACTATGATATGTCATTCTATTCAGAATGTCATTTTCTATCGAATAAAGTATAAAAATAGCGAAGCCATTTAAAAATCAAAAGTTGAAGTCATTTCCGATGAAACAGGAAATGACCAAAAACAATTGAATACGTCAATACTAATTTGTCATATACTAATATACCAAATCTCGTTTTTTTATCTGAAGAAATAAAAAAGTTATAGGGGTGAGCCACTTTCGAGACGCACCCGGTATTTTTAGAATCAAAACAAGTTGTTTGAGCACAATTTCAATCTATACAAAAGTGCTTCGTTTGACCGTTAGAGGATATCAAACTTGAAAAAAATAACACATTTTTTAAGATATTTTAAAAACCGTCCGTCGCGTCGTTCCGATTTGAATGAGATTTTGAGTGTCTATATTTTGCTAAGTGCTTTAAAATTTGACTTATACAAAAATCAAGAAAAAGTACGGGAACCTTCGTACTTCTTCATTTTTGTGAAAGTCAAACGTTGTTTCGGAACACCCAAAATCTCATTCAAATTGGAATAACGGTTCTTAAAATACCTTAAAAAATGTGTTTATTATTTTCAAGTTTGATGTTTTCTAACGGACAAACGAAGTACTTTTGTATAGAGATAAATTGTGCCCAATGAACTTATTTTGATTCCAAAAATACATAGTAGTTCTGTATATTATTTTTATTTTATCAAGAGAGAGAGAGAGAACTTTGTTTTGTAATAAAAAATACATGTAATAACCAAAATCTGACTCAATGATACTACAGAGATAAGGATAGTTCGATTCCTATCTTCCTGCACTTCAGTTTTTTTACGTCATCTACTGACCGAGTTGAAGTTGGCGCTAAAGATTTTAGACAGTGACAGTTATTTTTGCATTTGACGGACGAGCGCACAGTGCGTTGGAAGATAAATTTAGCGGGACAAAAGCGTTTGGTTAGAAATAAGCCAAAAAATGTGTACTGATAAGAATAAATAGTAGACATTCCAATTGATACAAAAATGCATGAATATTCTTTGTATTTCGATACATTTTTATCAACCAAATTTGGTCGTTTTCTGCTCAGCAAGGCAGAGATCATACAAAAACAAAATATTTACAAGTGCTTATACATTTTATTAGAAAGCCAAATTATGTTGAAGATTGCCAAAGGTATGTACTTTTCTACTATACATATGTTATTTGTTAAAATCCTTCGTGCCTTTGTTCTACAGATATCAAACTTTCACTTTTTTTTTCAAATATCGATATATTGAATGATGTAGATCTTTTGAGTTACCAATAGGTACCAACACAGGTAGTCACAGTCACAGGGAGTTCAAGCTTAACAGGTGAATGCCCAAAAAGATTCATTTCAATCGGACAGTATAAAAACAAAACAACTCCATCAAAAGGCACTGAGTTTAAAAAATTGTCTTAGATACTTACTATATATGAATTTAGAATTACCGAGTGTTAAAATTAAAATTAAAATATCTATCTTATTTTCAAAATAAAATATATTTTTTAAAATAAATTTTAGAGGGTGTCACAAGATTACAAATTAATTAAAAAAAACTGCTAAAGAGTTTTTTGATATCATAATTTTATGTATTTGGCAATAGTTTACAATACGATTTTTGTGTGTCATGTACGAATAATATCATAGTTTTATTATCTTGTATTTATTTATTAATAAATTAAGTTGTTAATAAATAAATAAATTTAACCATATAGTTGCTATATATTAGACCATTTGCTACGTTCTTAGATTTTAAGTCCCAAACATTGCTCTGAGATTGTCTGCATTGAGATTTTGTCCCGCTAGAATAACCATCCGCCGCACTGTGGAGCGCTGGTCAGCGCGTGACGTAGCATTCCACGGCGACTACGACAGCGGCGATTTGACACGATCGAACAGTCCTTTAGAATATATACAGTCCTTGAATCTGACTTACCTGCTGCTACAGTATCAGCGACATAAACAAAAGCCGCATCACAAGTTCCTTGTACAGTCTCATCCACGATCAAATTAGCTAATAAGGAAGAGGGTCTAAGTACTCGTCTAGGAAAGTCAATCCTTCTAACTACTTGGTCGGTTTTCAAGTCGAACACCATTATTTTGGGATTACATATTCTTTGGAAGTCGTCTATTGACGTTATTACACCAGCATCTAATACCTACATTCCGTTACAACAAAATTAATACGGTTTGAATCAAAATGTCGACTAAAATAATTTATGAGATGTTTAAGTTTGAAAAGTCTTGGACTACTGGTAATAACTCAAATTTATTTTAAAATATTGTTGTTATTATTAAAAGTTAAACATTTTATACTTTAAATTAATATATGTAACAGAAAACAGTTATCAAGTTATGTACAACTGTATGACTGATAATATCTAAGAATAGAAATGTTTGATATACAACACCATTTTTATACAGGGTGGTCCGAATTGTATTCCGAAAACTTCGGCAGCACATCCTACAGATAAAAATAAGTATAAAAGTTTGTATAAATGTATGTCCTAAAATGCTTAGTTTCGGAGATACAGGGTGTAGAAGTTTCATTTATTATTTCGATTTTTTCCAAATAATTTATGAAGTAACGTCAATATTTGGATGAAAATTGGTCTCTGGGAGTTTTTTGACATGAGAAATTTGATTTTGATGTCAATATGACTCCTACTTATAGAGGACGCCACTTACATGTGTTTTAACTGTTTTGAAGAGTAATAACTTTTCATCCGTACCTGTATAAAACTATGGAGTAAAAAATATACATTTCCATGAGTTTTTACGTAAAAAATGTCTCTTGGTGAAAATCGCTATGAGCAACCGTTCTCAAAATATTTAGAATCAAATTAGTCAATACATGTCATTATTGACAAAAAATAAACACGTTGAGTAGATAGTTACTTGACTGAAATAATAAATTTGGAAAATTTTCATTTTTTTAAATTAATCATAAACGTTTTGCGTAAAAATGATGATAAAACAGTTTCTGTTGAACTTTTGGCACAAAAACATTTCAAATTTATGATTTCAGTCTAATAGCTATTTAGTCAACATGTTTAATTTATGTCAATGATCATAGGTATTGATAATTTCGATTCCAAATATCTCGAGAACCATTACTCGTAGCGATTTTTAGCAAGAGACATTTTTTACGTAAAAAACTTCGTAAATGTATATTTTTTTTTACTCAGTAGTTTTATACAGGTACGGACTAAAAGGTATTACTCTTAAAACCAAAATATGTAGGTGGCGCCCTCTACAAGTAGGACTTATATTGACAAATAAAATTTCTCATATCAAAAAACTCCCACGCACCAATTTTCGTCCAAATATTGACGTTACTTCGTAAATTATTTGGAAGAAATCTCGAAATAAAAATGAAACTTCTACCCCTGTATTTCCGAAACTAAGCATTTTAGGACATACATTTATACGAACTTTTTTACTTATTTTTAACTGCAAAATATGCTGCCGAAGTTTCCGGAATGCAGTTTGGACCTCACCCTCTATAACACAAAAACTAAATGGTATATTCCATATTTGGTTACTTTTCTCTATTAGAAATTTAATGGTAAATAAAAATAATTGGCCATAATAAAATCAAATAAATAAACAAATTCATGATTAATATTTTCCCATAAATAAAAATGTTTGTTCTTACCCAGAGTCTGTTACAAGAATCCACCCTCATCCTGTATACAGAAACTAATCCAGCGCACGTAGTATCATTTTCTAATCCTAATCCAGCACCATGGTAAGACCAGTCGGGGTAGGGTTGGGGTTCAGGACTGGAACCAGGAGGAGTATTTCTAGGGATAGTAGCTAATGTTGCTGGAATTCCTGTCCTTAGTCTAGGTTGAGCGATAAAAATACGATCGGGGGTAACTTCTAAACCAGTGAAAAGTGTATTTTCTGGCCTAAAATAAAGAAAATATGTTAGAAACATTAGTTATTGGCATTTAAATCGATATACCATAATTTTGAAAGATTTACGGTTATATACGCTCTCTAATGGATAGTGTATAATCGTTGAAACAGGAAATCATGCATGCAAATTTTGAACTGTCCATATACTGCTTCCCCTGTTACTTTTACAGCGAAGTTGTAAATATGTTTTAGAAGGTCTGCGTATGCTGAATGCAAATGGCAAATTTGAACTAAGAAGCTTTTAGAATAAGCCGATTTTAAGTAATTAAAAAAAATGAATCTATTTTTAATATAAAACTGCTTCCCCTAGGAGATGCAAGACCTTGTCGATGGTGGGGAAGCTCCTGGTCAGATGCTGGGGGGAATCCCCCCTAGCACTTGGCTTGGCCTAAGAAGCATCTCACTCATCGTCTTGTCCCTGACTGTAGTGTCGTGGCCAGGGAATTGCACCAAGACATATTACGATACCGGGCGGGGCTACGGACAGCCTCAACCTTGGGGCATCGGGGGGCACCCCATTGTATTTGACCCCTTACTTCTACATGCGGGGCTCTGTAGAAGTGGACTGACTGTCCCTAGCGACTCATGGGAACCCTATGAGATCTGGTAATAATAGTAATAAAAACATCACCGGTGAAGCTGTGGGGAAACCCCCTAGCGACACTGGGAACAGTAACAATGAAAGTTCCGAGGGGCCAAACCCAAAGAGAACTACTATCCTCCGCAAGTGGCATACAAGCTACCACCTCCCCCAAGGGTCGGTAGCCTACCTCCTACCTCTAAACCCAACAGGCGACACAAGCTACCGTTTCGTGTACCCGGCCTGGGTCGTAGCTCCTCGACTGTGAAGGACACGGGTCTCCGTAGGAAGTCCTGGGACTGTATGATGAGTTATAACTCAAGAAAGGGGGACACAATAGATCTCTAAGGTCGCAGAGATTAATCCCCCTCACACTTATTCTAAATTCTAAAGCTGATGGGATTGACAGACGAAGCTATGTGTAGGTTCTGCCAATCTGAAGAAGAAACGTCAGAACACATTTTATGTCGGTGTGACAGCCTGGCAAATGTGCGGTTCCCGGTAATAGGCAATGATAGACCATTGCCAAGGAGCTACATGGAGGGTTCAGTCTCCAAGTTGCTAAACTTTGTAAAAAGGATAAGACTGGAGAATGTAATCTAAGGATCAGAAGAGGACCACAATAGATCTGAGAAGGTCGCAGTGGATCAGGCCGAAAACCACCTCTAAGAATCTAATCTAATCTAATCTATTCTAAATTCTAATATAAAACTGAACAGGTAACAATGTAAAACCACAAAAATGCCAACGTTAAATTGTCATCCTATAATTTTGACAATGTCAAATTGTATTTTCTAAACGTTATTCTTTTGCCTCAGTGATTAGGTGTTCCGGTGTTTCTCCATCTTCCCCACAGAATGTGCATTCTCCGTTTCTTCTTAGTTTCAGTCTACTGAGGTGTTCATTGAGGAGAAAGTGCCCTGTTAAAAACCCAGTGACAATCCGAAGATTGTTATTACTTAAATCCAGGAAGATCTTTGGGCTTACGACCAAGAAAAATCAAGTGACAATCCGAAGATTGTTATTACTTAAATCCAGGAAGATCTTTGGGCTTACGACCAAGAGAAATCAAAGATCATCCTGGATTTAAGTAAGAACAAACTTCGGATTGTCACGGTGTTTTTAACAGGACACTGTCTCCTCAATGAACACCTCAGTAGACTGAAACTAAGAAGAAACGGCGAATGCAGATTCTGTGGGAAAGATGGGGAAACACCGGAACACCTCTTCACTGAGTGCGCCGAGACGATAACCATTCGTGCCATGAACTTCGGTACGACTGATATTGGAGATAGACAACTACCCTCTGTAAAACCGTCCCAGATACTGGCTGTTGTCAAAGCCTTGGGACTGTATGATGAGTTATAACTCAAGAAAGGGGGACACAATAGCTCTGTAAGGTCGCAGTGATTAACCGCCCCCCACTCATTCTAAATTCTAAAAATCCTCATTTCAACTAGTTTTAAATTACAAAAATACATTTCGGGGACACTAAGCATAGGTACTATAACGTAGTAGCATAGATACCACAAGTTACATCAACGATAAAGATATAGGTTGACAACGTAAGGTATGTTGACATTGGACTGGTTTTGCTGATGTTACCTGTTCAGTTTTAATCATGTTTGAATTTAAAAATAGATGCAGTTTTTCTTAAATTGCTTAAAATAGACTTGTCCAAAAGTGTTCAAATTTGGCACGTGTATCCAGCATAAGTAGTCCTTTAAAAACCCTATTAACGACTCGGCTGTAAAATTACTAGGGAAGCCAATATTTGGACAGTATAAAATTTGCATGGGATTTCCTATGTTTCCAACGACGATGCACCACCCGGTATACCTACATGCCTAGTAAGGCTGAATATTTTAAATATGAATACAATCGAATATAATAAAAAGAAGTCCATAAAAATAATAAATAGATTATTTTGAGGTAATCGGTTACAGCAAAAATATTCTGTGAAATAGGTAGCTGTAAACAGGTAAATATAATTCAATAATTGTGATAAACTATAGAAGAGTTTAAGAATTTGCAAAATATTGAAGCCATATATTGAAAACATTCAATATCGGAAGCGACAACTTTAGCAATTTGGATAGTAAAAAGAACATCGCTCTGGTATGTTTAGATAATAATTTGTTGACAAATTAGTATAAATTTAATCAATTTTCGGTACCACGGATTCCACTACCAATAAAACAACTCTTAAGAATCCGGTGGCTCCATCATGTCTCAAACGTATCAGTCCTGGAAAAAGCTAACTGTGAGAATATTGAAGTCATGGTTACAAAATCCCGCTTAAGATGGGCTGGTCACGTATGCAGAATGCAAGAAAACCGCATACCAAAATCTCTGCTTTACGGTGAGCTTGTCGACGGTAAGAGGAGGCCGGGTGGACAACTCAAAAGGTACAAGGACATTTTCCACGAAAACTTAAAGGGGATGCAGAAATGAGTGGGAAGAAACAGTTTACTATAGAACCCAATGGAGAAGAATTGTAAACTCAGTTAACAGCGACAACCAAAAAGTAAAGAGGGAACAAAGCAATGAGATTTTTGAATGTCCGGAGTGCGGTAGGCAAATAACATCACGTATCGGGCTTTTCAGTCACAGGAAAGCATGAGCTTTCCTGTTTCATGAGAAAGAAAACGCCTTGCGTGACCATCTTTTGATGCGTGTCGAATACTCGTCAGCGAGTAATAGCAGTATGTATGTATGTATTGTGTATTTTCTCTGTAAATTTGTTTTTTTTTACCTAAAAATACCTTTATTTCGCGATTTTAATTAAACGTTCAGAAAACACCAGATAATATTATCAGAAGCTCTCAATCTATATCATGCATCTGATTTATAGGCACTTATTATTTATAGGCACTTATTCTTATTTGCAATCAATTATATTATATACTTAGTTAATGTATTCAATTAAAGTAGTAAATGCACATAAAAGCAAACATAAAATGCACATATATATCATTGAAAATTACCACCGCACATTTGTTTTTGTATTAATCGAAGAGTGAATTATTTGTTTAGTAAAAGTAGGTATATACACACATTGATACATTGTTTAACCTTTTATTTGATATGAACTGCCAGTCAAAAAAACTTTACATTTTCAACCTTTTTGCTTCTTTTAAGTTTTCGCATTTCACCTACTACGCCTTTTTTAGTCAAGGTTTTAATGGAGCTTACAACCCGATCTGTTACATAACATGATTGAATAATAAATAAACATTATCGATAGGTCGACAGGCTGGTTATGAATAGACTGTGGTATTATTAAAGTGAGAAAATAGTCTATTTTAAAATTACAAATTTTATCCAAAAATACAAATTTTATGAAAATCAGCTAATAATAAAAGACTAAATATCGCAGAAAATATAGTCAAAATTATTTGAAAAAAAATACAATAAAAGATAAATCAGAAACTAGTTTATAGATTCTCAAGAATTGTAATATTAACGGTTAAAATTTATTAAAAAATGATTAAATCTATTCTAATCTGTCCAATTTTTTTTTCTAAATGTTCTAGAACGATTTTCTGATTCGCTAAATCCTTGACTATTAATTGGATGTCTCTAACACTTCAGTATTATTCAACTGATTTTCCAGTAGCTTTTTCTTTATCTTTATTGATTGTAAATTGGTATCTCTCTCTACCAATCTACCTAGTGTAAAAGAAATGAAGGGGGTCATGACTGTATAGATTGTTGTTCTAATACTTAAAAATCTCTATCTTCATATTGTCACCCAAAATATGAGTGTAATGAATATTTTTTGATTGCTCATTTACTATGTTTCATACTATATGTTGTCACACTTAATTATTATTAGAATATTTTGTTCAAAGATTATTATTTCCCAGATAACTGCAAAACTATACGAGGAATCTAATTATGATTACCGTTTAATATAAATAAATATGATATAGGTTTGGACTGGACCAACAAAGGATTAAAAATAGATGGAGAATATCTTAACCACCTGAGATTACCTGATGACATAATCCTAAACTGTCAATAGAAGATATCAAAATAGTATCAAATGGGTCACCGCTTATCCTGGTGCCGACATCGGCTCTGACCATAACCCCCTAATCGCAGACTTTCAATTTAGACTCAAACTAATATCGGAGAAAAGAGCAACAACACAGAGACATTATAACATTGATAGACTGAGGGAACCAGCTGTTGCAGACAGAATGGAAGTCGAATTAACAGAACTATGGGCAAGTAATAACAACAATCCCGGACTTAACGATAGTCCAGATGACATATGGAACAACATAAAACAAAACATTCTGACTGTTTCCAACGCTTTTGTGACACCAACAACAACAAAGAAAAACAAACCATCGATGACCGATGAGATACTCTCCCTCATGGAGGACAGAAGAATTGCAAAAGTCGAACAACAACAACAAAGATACACCGAAATAAATAAAACTATTAAACAACAATGCCAACAAGCTAAAGAGAACTGGGTAACTGCAGAATGCCAAGAGGCGGAACGCATGCATGCTCTGCACGACTCTGTAAATTTTCATAGAAAACTCAAACAAATTACTGGAATCACAAAAAAAGCACCAATACCTGCCCTAAAACACATGGGAAATTGATTTTAGACCCGGTAGATCTATGCAGCACATGGAAAAGCTATGCACAGTTATTATTTGAAGACCAAAGAGAAGACAGACAACCTCTCAATTGTGAAGACTGGTCGGGCCCGGAAATTCTTGAATCTGAAGTTCAGCATGCTATGAAAGCTATGAAAAATCGAACAGGCCCCGGTCATGACAACGTGCATGCAGAAGTTCTTAAAATATTTGACTCAAAGCATCTCACATATCTATTCAATCGAATATATGATACGGGTAAAATTCCAAACGACTGGCTAAAATCAACTTTTATAACAATTCCCAAAAAGGCATCTCCAAAAGACTGTAGTGACTACAGACTTATAAGTCTAATGAGTCATGCTCTGAAACTTTTTCTTCGAGTCATGCATGCTCGTATGTACTCGAAATGTGAAAAAAAAGCGGAGATACACAGTTCGGCTTCATTAAGGGGCTGGGTACCAGAGAGGCTTTGTTTTCAATCAAGCTACTAATACAGAAATGTTATGATCAACGCCAAGATGTTTTTGTGTGCTTCATAGATTATCAGAAGGCTTTCGACAACGTTAAACACGATATTCTCCTAAACAGACTGCTCGAGATAGGAATAGACGCCAAAGACATTAGAATCATACAGGAACTATATTGGAACCAAACCGCAGAGATAAGAGTTAACAAAAATTTATCCACAGACACCTTCAATGTGTGTCAAGGAGTCCGCCAGGGCTGTATACTGTCACCAATACTTTAATATATACGTCGAAAAAATATCTCAAATGGCCCTGGAAGGAGAAAGTGGAGGAATTAAGATTAACGGAGTTCCAATTAACAATATTATATTGTATATGCAGATGATACGGCAATACTAGCACGAACTTTAGAGGATCTCCAGCAAATAATACATAAGATAGGGGACATGGGAAATCGTTTCGGTCTTAAAATCAACGCTGCCAAGACCAAACTTATGATAATAGGACGCCAGCCTACAATCAACACCGCATTGACCGTGGATGGAAATATTATAGAGCGAGTTCCACGATTTAAATATCTGGGTGCCATGATCAATAGATCGTTAGGTGCGTAGAGAAGGTTTTCGAATGTTCTCGTATGTACTCGTCCATTCCAGTGGGACTCGATTCTTCTCGAACGAATGAATCATTGCGGTGTCTATGCGATGTTAAGGTCATCCGAGGGCGGGCCATATTGTGAGGTTAGGTCGAGTCCACACCGGCCCGCAACATTACTATACGGCGCAGAAACCTGGTCACTCAAGGCTAGAACCCTGAACCGCATCGAGGCTTTCGAAATGTGGACTCTCCGGAGACTCTTACGTGTGCCATGGACCGCACATGCAACTAAGGAAGAAGTTTTAGGAACTGCAGGCTATGAACGAGAAATGCTTAATATAGTTAAAGAAAGGAAAGTCTCATACCTCGGCCATATCGTTAGAGGAGACAAATATTACATCCTTAAGCTAATTCTACAAGGAAAAATAGAGGGACGGCGAGGCCCAGGAAGAAAACAACATTCCTGGCTAAGAAACACACGGGATTGGAGTAACATCAGCGACGCAGCCACCATATTTCGAAGAGCCGAAAAGGGCACTCTACACATTGTATGAAGAGTACAGACAATCGCCAACGTGCGGCTAAGCACAAGGCACAGGAAGAAGAAGAAGAATAAAGTAGGTCTCAAAATGAATTTAGCAAAAAATAAAGTAATGTACAACTAACTAGTATAGACAAAAAAGGCATTCTAATAAATAACACAGCACTAGAAATAGTAAAAGAATATACAATATATTTGGACAACACTAAAACACAGCTCGGGATCTCTACTACCAGAAATCAACAGAAGAATTAAGTTAGCGTGGAGTACTTATGGAAGAAACTCAATCATATTCAAATCAAGAATACTATTTTATCTAAAGAAGAAAACATTCGACCAATGTGTACTACCAGTCATGACCTATGCATGCGAAACTTAGACACTTAAAACGGACATTATAAGGAAACCTTCTGGTCGCACAGTGCCCATTGCAACGAAATATGATGGGAATAATCAAGAGAGACCGTAAAAGAATAGAGTGGATAAGACAAACGACCAGGTAATAGATGTCATCCACAGAATCAAATCCCTCAAGTGGCAATGGACAGGACAGCTGGCCAAGAAAGACAGACAACAGATATGGACCACAAAAATTACAGCATGGTACCCACGAGGAATTAAGAGACCTAGAAGAAGACCGAACCTGAGATGGGACCATGATATTAGGAAATTAGATGGGATAACTTGGGCCCGCATAGCCAACAATAGACAACAAGGAACCAAAGTACAAAGAGAGTATCTAAACATGTGAGGGAGGCTACACCATAATTGGAAATGGTTGAATAAGCTGAAAATGACAATGAAGACCGATATATTTTTTATTATACCATAACATTTATACTTACTTAAAATTGCTGGCACTGAATCCATAGGGTGGAGTAAATTGCAGAAAGTTCCACTGATTAATTACTTCTAATTGTAATCCGGATATACTCCATATACAAAATGTAAAGAGTAAAAGTGGCAGAAACCAGCTCCTCATCGTAACCTGAAACAAAAAAACTACTTTAAGTAAAACATAGATAAATGCATAGGTAGCGTAAATAGGTTGTAAGTTGATTTAATTATATCATGACCTTTTAGGCTGATATTGTATTAAAGCTTTAATTGAATAAAATCGTGATTTCAGAATGATACTCTACTGATATTTCAACTTGGTACTTTTTTAAGATGGCTGATTCATATTATTATTATTACAGAGGTATTTAGAAAACTATTTTTATTAATTAAATAGCTATTAAATTCCAAGAAATGGAAAAAAATATACGCAGAAAATCAACTTTCCAAAAAATATAAATGTATATAAATGAGTATGTTGACGTATTCGATTATTTTTGGTCACTTCCTGTTTCACCGGAAATGACAAATTTTGATTTTTAAATAGACTTAAATATTTATTCGATAGAAAATGACACTCTGAATAGAATGGCATATCACATGTCAACTTTTGACATTTTTGTTTAAAAAAATCGTATTTTAAATTTTAATGTAGAGTGCCATGGTTTTGTTCAAAATATTAATTTTTAATCAAGGAGCCCTGGAAAAATAGATTTGATCGTCTAATGTCTTTCGTGTCTTGTCCTGGCCAGTTCAAAGATGCCCAACTCGAATTTTTAATCATATCTTAATTGTTTTAAATGAAACGAGGGTGGCTCATTAGCATGTGTAGAAAAAGTATTTTTTTACGAATAATTTGGTACCATACACTTGGAATTTCGAAAATTTCGTCAAAATGTCGTTACATTTACGGCCATGGTACTCGAAATTGAAATTTGAAATGCTTTTTTTTAATTGAAAATGTGAAAAGCTGACATCTGACATGTGATATGCCATTCTATTCAGACTGTCGATGACTATTCAGACTGGATGATGAAAAACAAAAGGAGCAAACTTGAGCTCCCGTTTGCTCCTTTTGTTTTTCATCATCATTCATGATTTATTTAAAATATCATCATGGGCGCCGGAAGAATGAAATTTAGGGGGGGGGCAAGGTAAAAATGAATAAAAAATTGACATTTTTGGTAATTATTGGGAAAACTGGAAATCGTCCGATTTTCACCAAAATTAGTATACACCCTATTTTGAAGTCGTAGATTACGAATCTGAACTTTTTTCAGAAAAACGGAAAATAATTTCAATATCGAATTTTTCTTAATTTCTCATATTTTTAAGGTTTTCTAGCACATATTTTGTTAGGTATTCAATAATCAATAATGTTTTTGCTATTTTCTGTTACTTTTTTAACCAATTCTATGCATAATAGAGGAAAATTTGCTAAAATAAATTTTGAACAATCTGAAAATGTTAGGTTATAGCTTTGTTCGGGTTCTTGTTATTACCGATTCTGAACCGTCCAAGAACTCTGCAGCGCATGCGCAAATGAAATAATGTCTTCATATTTACTTCTGCGCATACGCATCACAGTTCTAGGACGGTTCAGAAACTCGGCAATAAGCGAAGCAGAAACTGTGTTTCTGCCATTTAAAGCAACGCTGCCAATGCTAAACCTAAATTTAGCGTGTTTTTTCGCTCATTCTGGAATTACGAAAGGCGGTCGCCAGAAGAACGGCTCCTTCCCATAACTGATATTTTACCAACGAGATCTGATTATTTATACCCACGAAGTTGCACAGAAAAGAGTTTTGATTGCATTGGTTACAACTTCCATGCAGAGGGTGTTAATCTTTTTGTTGTTATATTATATCCAAAAGTTTAACCCCCTCCGCAAAGTTAAAAGCAATGCAATCAAAGCTACTCCGCGCTAATTTTGTGGATATAGGTGTATATTTAATTATTGTCGATCTCATAATAGGTAATTTATTTAAAATCCTAATCACCCGAAAAAATAGAAGATATGGCAACGTTGGCAAATTTTCAAATTTCTAGATTAGGTCTAGAATATATTTGTCTCTCTTATTACATAGGAGAGAGAAGAAGGATATATCAAATGTCAAACTTCCATATGGTCTCAATTTTTCTTTGCTATTTTGTTAAGAAAAGTGTTTTTCAGTAAAATGTTGGACATTTTCTATCCCCAATCAAGTGTGGCTTTTAGATAAACTTTTTAGATAATATAATGAAAACATAGTGAAATTATTACTTTATAGGGCCGAAATAAAGAAAAATTCAATGTTGAAATAATTTTCCGTTTTTCTGAAAAACGGTAAGAGACCACCCAGAAAGAAAAAAGTAGATTCGTAATCTACGACCTCAAAATAGATGTGTATACCAATTTTGTGAAAATCGGACGATTTCCAGTTTTCCCAATAATTACCACATTTTTTATTATTTTACAGGTAACACCTGAAAATTTCATAATAATGATTATTTTTTTACAGATGGATGTAAGAAGATAGCTTTTATCTTTATTGTTTCAGTGATCCAGGGGGTGGCAAATGCCCCCTCTTGCCCCCCCTATCCGGCGCCCATGAATATCATTATCTTTCTTGACTCCGTAATATTTATATTTTAATAATGCAACTTTAGCATTAACACACCTATAGCATTTAACATATTATTGCATTTTTGGGGACACTCGTAAAGATCAAAATAGGTTTAAAATGTGGTAAAAATAATCCTACTATTGCGTTCCAAAAATGTTATTCCAATTATATCATGTGATTATTCTTCGGGAGTCCATTTCGTATCTAAAAGCGCCACCCTGTATATTTGATAATAATAAATGTATAAAATTTGCAATAATTATTATAATAGGTACCTAGCATAATATTATATTACTTTTTTTAAATCATTAAATTTAAAATTGTCGGTAATATATTGTATTTTTCTTATTTTTCAATATTTCCCAGATATTTCCTTTATCTATGATATTTCCAACTAGAATACAGTGGTTAGGCAACTCAATAAATACACATTTTCCTATAGAAAGTAAACTGTCTGTACAAAATCTACACCATATTAAATCGTTCTTACATGTGCGATGGTGGTGTAATGGTCAGCATAGTTGCCTTCCAAGCAGTTGATCCGGGTTCGATTCCCGGCCATCGCATCAACTTTTTTATTTTTTTTTATGATTTGCATGCATAAAAATAATAAGGATATATTATATTATGCTTATTATTAGCTTCATAATATGGAACATAGGTAGTAGATTAAATTTACAAGAAAGAAAACCAAATTTAAGCAAAAAATATTTTTTTTAATTTGCAAAGTAAAATATCTCAGTTATTCTGGACTTATTTGAAAAACGGTAAAGAGAAAATATTTTTCTTTTATCGAGATCTACCAGCCCTGAAAATATTTGCACTTATTTAAGACTCACACTGTATAATAAATTTGAAACTCGGTATGTGTTGTTCTTCACAGAGTAATTGATATGACATCCATTTTTTATTAAAAATAATTTGAATCTTATCCATTTTGATATTATCCCTTATATCACTTATATCCATTATCCGCTTATCCATTATAATACTTATACCTATTAATGACTTGCAAAACAAGTCATTTAAAATTGAAGACCTTAGAGAATTGATGGCAGTTTCGTCTTAATACAATTCAAGTAGAACGTCCGATATTTTTGGTGAACACACAATGTTACTTGATACGGTTTGAGTAAACAGGTAAAACTTTTGTCTAGTGATTAATATAATTTAATTCTATTGGCTGAAATTTTTGACAGATGAATTTGACAGATAAAATTTCTGACAGATGAATGTTTCAGCCAATAGAATTGCTGGAAATCTATTCAAGGTCATTACGCCGTTACGCCGATACGCCGTTTTTAGGATAGTGTGGCTGCACCCTTAGAGAATTGATGGCAGTTTCGTCTTAATACAATTCAAGTAGAACGTCCGATATTTTTGGTGAACACACAATGTTACTTGATACGGTTTGAGTAAACAGGTAAAACTTTTTGTCTAGTGATTACTATAATTTAATTTTATCAGATTAAACAAGGTGTTTAATTCGACTGAAAATAGCAAAGCGGATCTACATAATATATGTATATACATTCGGGTTTTATTTTTTAACTCTATGATTTGGTCTAACAGCCACCGGTAAACCAGACACGCTTGCGGAAAAATCAGATAAGAGATCTTTAACACGTACGAGATCATTAAACATTATTTTTGATCTATTTCACGTTTCACTTTTTCTTTTGAAGGTCGGTTTCGGGCTCAAAATTCGTTAATCTATTTATCTAAGAAAAAATACTCGCATTTTACGTTTTCCTAGACCCGACAACGTATGATCTGACGTGGCCTTACAATGACAACCACGCCCGCTTTTCTTGTATTATTAGAGTAAATATCAAGTAGAATTTGATACAGAACAAAAGCATTATTTGCAATTTTTTACATTTATTGCACACCCACTGATAAGAAACAATGCACATTTTTGACATTTATTGTCGTGGTTTGTAGCACACAAATCTTTCTCTGTTAAATGGTATCTGTTAACTGCTTTTTTATAGTCGTAGAATATTTGAACCATGGTTCTTGGTAGCCTGGAGGTAATCGGTGCTTACGACACACAGAGGTTACAGATTTAATTCCTTAGTTTATCCTCTAGGGACATAATATCGTATGATCAAAAAAAAAAAACGGCGTCAAAGAAGGCTGGGGAATAGCAATCGATGATAATTTTGGCGCGGTCAATCTCTAGACGTCATTTTCTAAAAATTTACATAAAACTTGTCAAAAATTAACGTTAATTTTAGAAAAAATTCAAAAAGGACTATTTCCAAAAAATTATTTTTTTGTGTATTTTAAAATACATAATTTAAAAATCATTTTTATTCAATATAAAAATAAATTACAACCTTCTCAAGGCCAACTGACAGTAAGCGTCATGAAAATTTGAACGAAGAGTACGGGCCAAGTAATGACGACTAGGGCTTGACCTCGCCAAAATTATCATCGATTTTCATTCACCAGCCGTCTTTGACAGCGTTTTTTCGATCGTAGTGGGTGGCTCATTAACATATTTGGAAAAAGCATTTTTTACGAATAATGTGGTACAGCA